AAATACCTCTGATAATGAAACCGGTAAGAGTTATACATTCTGCATATAAATCTAAGCAGGACGCAAACCACTGTGCAATTAGCAACCTGTGTAACAGGTGATATTAAAATTGGCACTCTTGACTCCAGACAGGCTTGGTTCTGTGCAGAATTCCATGAGACACAGAACATACGGTTTTAAGAGGCCTCAAGCTCTTGTTCCATGCTCTGGGAAGCTGTGCTTAACCAGCCCAGTCTTGAACCAAAGGGCTAACTTCATTCACCTTCCAGTATTAAACAGCTGAATCGGTGAATTCTGATAAAAGCGTGGTGCACGTCTTGGCATTCCTTAAGATGTAATTACCATGAGTTCGGAAATAAACTCACACATTTACTTAGAAAACATATGAACAGCGGCACGTTTCTTCTACTGATGACTAAGTAACACACTGAACTGTTTTTCAGACTTCCAACTTGCACACAATTTTTAGGAGCTGCAGCCTCTTTTATAAGAATTGAGGCTGAAGACAAAGCATCTGGTGAAGTCTTTTCTCTTTTTTTTGCAGTTCCTTGAAATCCTGCAGGAGCACTGAGGGATCTGCTAAGTACAGGTTGAAAAACACTGCTCTAGATCATTACTCTGCAGTTTTGTAGCTTATGTAGATAGATTCTACTAGAGGGAAATTACAGCAATATTACTACACTGTTGCAGATACTCAAGCTTCCTCTAAGTGCTGGGTACTACACTGCAAATGGCTGCCTCAGAACCTCAGCTGGAAACCTGTTGTAAACTTGGTCTAACAAGGTCCACCTCTAAACAAGGGTCATCAACTCAGCTGTGTCAGCTGTACTTCCAGTTGCAGCTGAGTGGAGTATATTTGCATTGTACTGCAACAGTGTGATGCTTCAGATAAAATGGGTGGATGACAGTCATCAAAACTTCGTGTTAGACATACAATTTGGTTTAGATCATTTGTCTACTAAGTATATGGAATGCAAGCTCCTAAAAATCCAAGTATTCTGAAGCATAACTTATTCCAGATCTAGAGCAGTCACTGTGAGTATCATCCACTGCCAGCAAACTAAACCTCAGTGGTTTTATGTTTGGGGTTTTTTGGTGGTTTTGTTGTTTGGTTTTTTTGTGGTTTTGTTGTTGTTGTTGTTTTTTACACAAAAGGGATACAAGAAAACTGAAAGAAACTACTAAATGCTCTTGTATGACATGTATTTCAGAAGCAGATAGTCTCATTACATAAATGACTATTACCAAGCAGTACAGCTGTACTGGCATTTGAATTCCTGCATGAGAATGAAACTACACAGCATGCTGGTATTCAAGACAGCAAACTGGCTTAATACACCACCTTCAGTATGCCAAATTGTGTATGCAGCATCACCTCTTAGCCAAACACACTGAAAATAACACCACACACTCATTTCTCTTGTACAAGAACATTAATAGATCCCTTTGGCAGCATTTAACAAAAATCTTTGAAACTGTTTGTTGTACTTACAGTATCATAAACACGCAATATGCTACCTCTGCCATCTTTTGGAGTTGACAAGTTTCAGCAGATCTGGAGAAATCAGATAAGCTACAAGCAAATTCATTTTTAAGGGCTGGTGTTCAGAATGTGCAGCTGTAAGTGCAGGTAATGGATGCTCCTGCAGCAGAACTTCATGTCCCAAGATTAACTGAAAATGAAAAATTAATTTTGATATCTGAAATTCAAGGGGAAACATATTGCTATGAAATATTTATAAGAATGAGTCATCTATTTTTACCTTGAAATATGCATTTTTATTTCACAGTGTTTTATTAGCTTTATGGCCACATTCTTGGAGATGAAATGTCAATCAAGTAAACAGTTTACATTTTCAAAACAAGCACTTACCAGAATATATCTTAATGATTGTACTAAGCCTGGCAATTGTGCTATGATCACACTTTAATTTACATAATAAATTACTCTGTACCATTCAGCTTCCATTCTTCTCTTTTCTTCAAGCACAACTGCTACACTCATGTTGGACTTCAACAAGTTCACGTGCTGAAAGAGATTCTGCTAAAAAAATGCTGCCAGGTCACACACCAACATAGAAATTTTAAAAACAGTAATAAAATAGTTGTAATCCTTACAGATTACCATCCTGTTAAGTCAATAACGTGTCTGAAAATCATTATGGATGGAGGGCTGAACATAGCTCTTGGCCAAGCTAGCGCAGTTCTCTTGACTTCAAAAGGAATGTATCTGCCCTGTGAGATCTCTTTTGTATAAAAGCTTCCTCAGAAGGTTAATGGAAATTTAGCTTTCAATCTATTCTAGATTTTAAAAAGGGATGATTTATCCTTTATCACTGGACAAAAATGAATTTTCCAAAGTATTAATGAATTTCTGTCTCATCCATGCTTTGAAGTTTCGATACCATTCTAGAAGCTTTTTTCTCCTTTGAATCTTTTCCTGTAAGCTCATTTTTTTTTCTCTCTCCAGAACTGCAGGGAGCTCTTTCCAGTTTTTAATAAAGATAAATGGAGCCCCCATGGTTTTTAATAATTGTAATGGAGCACTGTGGTACATGGATGAATTTCCACAATCACCCAGTGTCATTACATCTTCTATAACCGGCAGAGATCCATATGAACAAGCTTCATAAATTCTATAGCATTCTGTATTTATTCCCACTGGGCACAAGGTCAAATCACTCTGCAGCAAGGCGTCTTGGTAGTTCCTGAAACTTTCATTTGTTTCTTGAGGTTGCCACCTAGGAAAGTAGAGGGGTTGAAAATTAACATCTTTTCCACAGGCACTGCAATTTAAAAAACAGAAATATGCTTTAATTTCAAGTATTTATAAAATCAAAAATTCTGTCAATGTAAAACATTTGTATTGCTATCACAATCAATAGCCTTTTAGTCTTAACTATTCTATTATTGAAATGTCACTGTTAAAAATAGATTTTAACAGTTTTTAGATATGGTCCTTTTAGGAAATTCTTAGTCCTTAGAAGTGTTAAGAGGTGAACTGAAATGCCATTTTAAATCTCCTGTATGACTTGGATGACACATGTCAATTTACTTCACAGCAGAGCTCAGCAATAGAAATACAGGGAGACACCCGATGGACTTTTTATTTTTGGCTTCAAATACTTTATATCAGTCGAGGTTTCTTCTTCAGAATTTAAGACATAAAGCAGTATGTTATCCTGAATCCCTCTGCCTGGAGTACCTCAGAACATCTCTGAGATAAGAGTTTACGTCACAGACAAAACCCATCTCCTGAGATTCTCCATCAGGATAGCTGAGGTCTTCTAAGCACTGTTGTTATACTTGTTATCAAACATTTTATAGGTGTTGCTTGGCAAAATAAAGAAATACAATCAGAACCCAATTCCTGTTAGTCAAAACATCTGTTCTATCTACTTGAAATAAAGAGATTAACAGATTAAAACCACTCTCCTATATGGAGACACATAACAAAATACAAACACAACAAAACACAACAAAATACAGATTATTTTCTTTTCTCCTAGTATGACATTAATACACAGAGTGCAAAAAACACACTTCTTCTCCCACCATAATAAAATGTATACTAGATAAAAAAGATGGTCTTTATATGCAGTATACGGAAGAGATTTTTCTGTATATTTAAAAATCTACTTTATGTAAAACATAGCAACAGAAATGCCATGACATTATGAAGATGTACATAAAAAATCTTGGCAATGTTCTCTCTTTTATTGAAGACTGGATACTTTTACTTGTACTGTTTTTAATATTCAGGAAAAGTCTATTAATAATGAACTAGACAAAAAAGTCTGAGTATTTTTACAAAGTAAATCAAAGTCTTACTGTTCTCTGGCTGCAATCCAGCAAAGTTTATCAAGCCCATCCTGCTTCAGAATTTCCATTAGCGTTTCCCTAGAAGAGTTCTTATAAACCGTACCTAAGAAATTACACAGATATGATCTTGGATCATATAGCATTGACCAGCTGGGTTCTACAACTGGAAAATTTCTGTAGCTGTAAAAAACAAGTATACATTAGATAATAATATGTTTCATGTTGAAGAAAAAACATTTTGCACCACTTCATCTTTACTGCAGCAGATTCTAAGACTGAAACCATCCCTGCATTGCCAATCACAGACAGACCTACAAGCAAACCAGCACAAGTCCTGTCCTAGAAGTTGGTCTTTATTCACTTTGTTCCCACTACATTCTTCAGAGACATTCCAGAATACATAAGTTGTCTATTGACATCAGAGATACTATGTGTGCATGTTATAAAATGTCTTTGAGAAACATGCTTTTTCAAAAGCAGCTGTTCTTGATGCCAGCACTGGTTTGACTGAAATGGCCAAGTAACAATGGAGTTTAAGTCTCAGCTACCTTGATCTCTGGGTATGCTTACCACCTAGAATACCACTGATAACCTCTCAAAGAAAAAAATCTCACTTTTATTTCAGTTGACCTCACTAGTTTTATCTTTTGGCTACTAAATAGCTTGTCGTGCAAGCTATTTAACTTGTCTTTTTGGACTCAACAACACCAGCCCAAGGTAAACCATAGCCAGTGTAAACCGTATGCCACTCTTTTAGATGTCTTTTCATCACATCAGGCCTTTTTCTCGTTTTGACTAATTTCTCATCATTTGACATCACTTATTTTGCTCAGCATGGCAGCTGGTGAAACACTGCTTCAGCTGAAGGGCTGGCTCAGTAAGTTTTTTCATTACATAAAGTTAATATTTTTTCTGGAACAGATCAATGTTACAGTTTCTGCTCCTTTGCATTCTCAAATTATGACAGATATTTCTTCTAATGTTATTATTTTTGATGGATCACTGTTCTACTTCCCTGCTGATTCCTTTTTCACAAGAACTGTACCCTGATCCAAATTCTTTACTGGTTTCAACAGTAGTTTCTATTTCCCAATTATTTCTTCATTGCTATTAGTGGTTCTCTGATGGTAGCACTTTCTTCAACTTGCCAAATTTTGATGCAAGTCTTTTCCTAGGTCTTCTACGTAATTAGTATTAATTCACTTTCAGAAAACCGTTTTTTCTTCATGCCAAATAATTTTGCAGGATTCTACAACTTTACTTTCCCTCTTCACTTTGGCAGATGTGTATATCTTTAACCACAATTTTTACAACTGTTGGTGTGCAAGGCTTGCAAAATCCCATTCTGACCTATCTTTCTCCACTGAGTTTTGCACCCTAGTTTGTAAATGTTGTTGCTTTCTGTTATCTGCCTTAATCCTGGCATCCCGAAACTCAAACTCTTGTTGCTTAGGAACTTCCAATGCCAGTAATTCTCTGACACTGTCAAGAATTCCAATTTAGTGTATTTCAATGACACTGTGAGTTCAAGCTACATATAAAAACTCCACAGTTTGCCAACTAGCTCAACACAAGATAGTGAATGAACATTCAAAACAAGATACGAAAATAATTCTGTATTCTTTTTATCTTAAGTTAAATGCTAAGTAGCTAAGACACCATTCACTCTGTTAATAAGGAGAAAGCTGGAAAAAGATACACCTAACTGAATCAAACTTTTTTCTACTTCACGTAAAGAGTTTGAGCAGCAAGTACAAAAAAAATGTTTTTGTGAGTAAGCAGTTAAGCCAGACTACATTATTGTGATAGTGTAGCATATTAATTGAAAATGTAAAGCATAGAATTTGTTGCCTTTGAAAGCCCCAATAGGGGTTAAAAAAAAAAGTTTCAGAAAAAAAAAAAGTATCACTAGTACCATCCCTTTTCTTTCCTAAACAAGCAGTAGCTGAAACCTGATTACATAAATATTATGAACTCCTGTGTCACTAGCATATATTACATGAGGAGTTACAATAAATCCCAAGAGCAAATCTACTGAAACAAGAAAAACCCACCAGACACAGGCTCATATTTTAAAGCTCCCTAAATACTAGCACTCTTTTCTTCTGTTATTGTTTTTATTGCTAAATGCAATTTCCAAAGATTCCAACGCTTAATCATTAACAGGATCATGTTCTACAACTTATTTACTATAATTGTTTTGGTTATCAGCAGTAACGTTGAGGTATTTCTCATACCTCATGCATAACAATCAAATTTCATTTGTAATTTGTGTTTATAGCACTTACGTAGCTACTCCTAAAGGCCACTGGAAAATATCTTCTTCATTCACCAACGCATAGTCATATGTAACAAAGAGTAGATTTACAAATCCTCCATGTCTTTTCAGGTATGGCTGAATCCATTCATTGTTGCACTGCTCATTTCCAAGCAGCACGACAGCTACATGCTGTATTTTGTGAGTCTGAATTAAGGTCTGTGCGTAATGCAACCACTGAGCGGCGTAAGTGATCTTTGCTTTTTCTCTTCCATTCAGAACCAGCACAACATGTTCAGCTTCAACGGAGAAGTATCCAGGAACTACAGATGGACCAGTGATGAAGCTTTGAAAACCAAAATACAAACAGTAAACACCCTTAAGACAAATTATTGAGTTTAATTCTCTAGACATCCTTAGCACACAGTCTGTGCTTGAGATGTTTTCCTTTGTTCAATAAAGTCAATGCAATATACTGCAAAATAATTTCTGTTGTTAATATCTACAGCTATAACACATAAATAAAGTTACCTTCATCCTTATTCAGGAAAAAGAAGGAGATTTAGACTTAAATGAAATTAAGTTACTTTGTCAATAGATCATACTCAAACATCAAAATGTGGGTAGAGGCTATTTTGATATTCACTAAAGGTCAAACCTTTTATTAATTCCAGTAACAACCGATTAATACAGTATGATAACAAGAGAGAGGCTCTCCCAAAAATCTCTGAGAGTATATACAAAGCTGGGTATCATTATGAGAGACAATTGGCTGGTCTGGCATACTACTTTTCTCTGAGATTGACAGCTAGTTTCAGTTCAAGTGTACCTCATGAAGAAAAATTCAGAGCAAAATCTATAAAAACTACTCCAGTGAGAACATCTGATTGACTTTAGGCAAGCACACTTCAAACCTGAGTTAAGCTGACATGCTGCTGGCTCAGTGGCATATTTTGAAGCCAAGATTCTTGAGACAAATTATTTGGAATGAAAACTTTATTAAAAGTTTATTAAAGTCTGAATGTCAGGTCAAGACTTGAATCCAAAGTTTAACAGACAAGAAGATCACTGGGATTCATGAGAGAGAACACCTTGAACATCAGCATGCCTACTATAGTGAATAGGTTATGTAGTTGATCCAATGATCATCTTGTAATAAGAGGGGGAAAGGGCTTTCTCTATGGACACAGTCTTGTGAGTCTATCAACCTTACAGGAATAACAGGATGTACTGATGGGCAAGCAATGACCTGCTACAGTTGGGAAAGAAGCACAATGGAAATCTCATCGTTGAATAATAATAATAACCACAATGCTGAGGTGGTTCTGTTAGCTCCCTGTCTGAATACAACAAGGATTGGGAAATGTAAGGGAGATTACAGAAGGTGCAAAATTAAGACATTAGCACTAAGAGATTTTCACTACTCACATGCAGGCTAGACCAATGCCTCATCAGGATGGTATGTGGAGATCACATTTTTGTACTCAATAAATTACTTGCTTACTATCAAGTCCTTATTTTTTCAGTTTTAGAACCCACACAAAAAGACTGTCAGTGTCACTCCCATCTACAAAAACAACTCGAGAGGGCTCTGGAGCAGAAAAGTAGGGCTTCCCTCTCTAGAAGTCTATTACAAATAGTAAGATTGCTGAATCTTATCAAAAGGTATGATAGGTGGATAAACACTGCTGGAAATAAGTAACTGTCTCACAAATCTGATGGAGATCTACGAGTGCGTCAAGAAGGATACAGATAACAGGGATCCAGCAAACATAGTGCATTTGGATTTTCAAAAGCTTCACCAAAGGCTGTTAAAGAAACTAAATTGCCACAAGCTATACTTGGTGGAATCCTCTGGCAGGTAAAGAAATCTTTGCTGGTTAACTCTGCTGACCAAAAGGCTTTCCTTCTGACATGAATCAAGATGGTTGCAATTTCCGTAAGGAGAACAAAAGAAAGCAACTGAAGAACTGCTGAACAACCAGGGCTAAGAGGGATGGGGGAAAGGCAGCACTGAATGTGGAAACTGAGAGGGTGTGACCCTCAGTGGAACATAAACTCAGGAATGCTCTTACTTAACAATAAGAGATGAGAAGTTTGGCACTCCCTACTCTACAACATCAATCTAGATGATAGGAGACAAGGATGTATATTGCTTCAGGCCAAGGAAAGTACTAAACCCTGCTCTCTTGCACAAATGTGCCAATATGTCACTAAAATCCACAGCTATGCAACTCCTTCTTCACTCATGTCTTTAAATAAATGTCCCTGTATTTCAAGTAAAAGTTGATATTTTTTGTATTCTTTAGGCAACTTACTTGGTAAAAACTTGAAGCATCAAAATCTGTATTAAATATGTGTATTCTCCATCATAAGTACACAAAATGGGCTTATTTGTGCAACTGTGTTCAAACGGTATTTTGGAATTTTTGTGTCTTTAGATTTGGTATTCTTTAAAAACATTAATGAGAGCACTATGTTTTAACAATACTTATCACTTACCACAAAACACTGCACAGGAGCACATAGTCTCCAAATATGTCACCTCAGCTACTTCCCTCTGGCCTCATCTAGTAATCAAATTGAGGTAATTTACCTCAGCCAGGCAATAAAGAACAATTCTAGAAAGTCTTAAAACCAGCAAGCAGCCAAGACCACGTACTAACTTTCCTCAAAAAAAAACCCAAATAAAATTATATTTTGAATTTGACTAAAAAGTAGAACTTCCGGTATTTCATTTCCAAACACTTCTCATTAAAGTAAGTCTTATTTGCATATTTTCTATACCTTGCACAAGTTCCTACTAGTCACATTTTAACCTCTCTTACGTTGGTGCCAAACTTAAAACTCTGTATTTTCACAGGATCTAGCATCCATGTTGGCTAAAATAAAGATCCTACTATCCTTGGTTCCTCTGAACGTAACAAGAACATATTTAAATGCTAGTATAGAAGACTTTATTTGAGACATCCATACCCTAAGGAACCATGTGAGGTTATTATCCATCTGAAACAGGCACACCAGAGAGAAAATAACCAAGGTCAGTCAAGCAACAGACTCATTAAGTGCAGCAAATTTTTTTCATATTATAAACAGGAATAGCAAGGGCTTGTAAAAAATCTTCATGTTCACACTGGAAGACTATCTGGTAGAGTGCCATTGATTTCTACAGCTTCTGCGATTTTAATTCTGGAAAGAAAAAAGTCTCTTCTCACCAAGATTACACTACAGGCATTGCTCCTTATTCAAAGCAAGTCTTATATCCGTTCTCCAAATCCATGAATAGAAAGCTTTATTGCTCTGTGAAGGAGACTACCAAGATGCAGTAGCATTATTCATAGTTAAATCCCTAATCTTGTAGGATCAGGTTATTTTTGCAGACAAGGAACACACCTTTTGTTTTTTAAAGAGTATGTCATCTTGTCTGTTTCCTTAGATGTACGACAGACTCTTTAATGATTCCTATGTTTAAATCAAACCTATGTGTCTTTCTAGAAAAACAATTCTCATCACTTATCAATGTAATATATGCATTACTGAAAAGATTCTATGGTCTGTACCATTGATAAAAAATTTTATACAAGAACTTCTGTGATTGCTTAAAAAAAACGCTTTCAATTCACAATCATATACTTACTTCAAACATCTGCAAGTTTCAACTGGAACTCCCTGTCTTATTGTGCAAAGAAAAAACATTTCTGAAGCAACACATTTTTCAGAACTTAAGTTCTTTTAAGGGAACTTATGCTTTTAAGCCTGAACTTTCACTTTTAAAGAAAACTTTTTAAACAGATGGGTTCTGGCACATGTGATTAAATGTTGTAGGAAAGCTATTACTGCAGACTGGAAAACTGGCCAAATAGATTAAAAATCCATCAGCTTTCACTGTATCTTTACAGAAAGCCTTAAAAATGGTTCTTAAATTCTTTAATAGGATCCCAGAGGAAAGTTCTGTTTTTACTAAATAATATAAAAGATTTGACAACAGTTTTAAAACATGCACACAGTTCCAAATCCATTTTTTAAAGGAAACAATGCTTCGAGTGTCATCTTCCTTCACATATAAAATTTTGATCTGCAAATCAAGTAGTCAGGCAGATGTTTGGTCTCACAGGTTGTTTTGTGTTATAAAGAGACACCAGTTATGGTTTTGATGGAATCCTGCTTATGAATAAATGAGTAAAATCCTTTTCCCCTGAACACAAGCGAAACCAAATAATAAGAGGCATCCTCTCACCTCACAAACCCGACCTTCTTCCAGCCCCCAAACCTAGTTCTTAAGACTTTTCTCAGAGTTGCATTTCCCCCTGTCAAGGTCTCTTGGCTGCCTTCCCTCTCAGCATTTTTAAGTTCATATGTCTTTAAAACAGACAAATCTTCATAAAACAGCATATGAAATTGATCTCATTTATATATATATATACATATGCATATATATATACATATTTGGGCTAGAATTTGCTGGTTTTATCAAGTATGTGTCTCTATGAATAAACATACCCGTCCCTTGTGGCAATTTTGAATGAGAAATTGTGTGCACAGTCCTCAGTTATCAGAACATAGCAAAACTGAAGTATTTGCAACTGGTATTGAAGTAACTGGAACTCCGAGATAGATGAAACAATGTACCTGATTTCACCGTATCACGTTAATTTTCCAATGCATAATTTGTTAAAGTTAACACAGCTGAAGTCAACATCTTGCAGCTAATACCTGAAATACGTTTTTCCTGCTTTTTGGCTTCCTCCTCTCCACTGAGCAGTCACATCAACTGGCTGAAGGTGCCCTTCAAAGATATGTTGCCAAAGATAAAGACCTACATAAGTGAAAATGAGAGAGAATCTGAATGCACAGATCTTGCCTATTCTAAACTTCCAGCAAATAAGGAAAAAGTGTTTCTGGGAAATGAAAGAGCGTAACCACTTGGGGGGAAAAAATTCAGAGCTTCCTACACAATATAGACATTGTTTGCAAATTCCATATGACATCAGATTTCTGTGATAGAACACATCACTCTGTAATATACCAATACATTCTACAGTTCTACATGACAGTTCAACTGAAGTTGGAAATCCCACATTTTAAAAAAAGCTAAAATAAGAACAAAGCTATGCCTTCAGCAGTAGTTAAAGAGCTTCAGAGGACCCCAGTTTAGGTAGAAACCTGGTGCCTTCTGCAACAGAAGAAATTTTGAGTACAGAAAATGCGTATTTCTCACTGTGCAATGCTTTATTTCATAAAGCGTAAGCATAACAAAAAAAATTATTCTTTTACAACCAAGTAAGAGGTCTGTCCTCATGCTGCACTGTAAACAGGACTGGATTAAAATAGCAGCAGTGCCTCTGTGCCATTTGAACCATTTCCTTTGACAGATACTAAAAAACAGCCATGAAAAGAACTACACAAATCAACTGGCATCTAACTAGTCTAATACTGGCACTAACAAAATTCTCAGTAACAGCTACCACTTCCTTAATAATCTCCATGTACATATGTCCGTATTATTTAACCATCTACATAAATTTCAGTCATTTAAAAAAGGCAAAGTGCTGTTTTAGAATGCTTAAGTGATTAACAGACATTGATTACAGCCGCTTACCAATTGCTGCTTTACCCCAAATCTGCACTCTCAGGCTAGTTTGCTCTAGATGAGACCTCGCACGTTTCATCATCTTAAGATAAGCTTCGTATCTCTGCTGAGAAGCAGCGTGTTCATTTTTCTCATCCGCTTCCCACGGGTTCCACTCCTCATTTCCCAAGGCAACATGATCTAGGAAACCCAAAGGCACAATTTACATTAAAAAAAAAAAGGTTGGCAAGTTCCTAAGACCGACGGACTGTCCGGCACCCGGGGCTCCAGGGCCACCCGGGGCTCCAGGGCCGCCCGGGGCCCGCGGCCTCACAAGGCACC